ATCGAGTAATTAGTCCAAAATCATACAGCCAGCAAAACAGGGAACCTGGGGATCCGAGTCCAAACAATCTGATGTCAGTGGCTGTCACTTTACCACCTTGAGAGTTTTAAGCCCTAAGGAGGCTGCAGTACCTCCTCAGTAATCTTCAGCTACTGATACCTCTTCATACCTGGGTTTCTCAATAGCAGCATTATTGACCTTTGGGGCCAGATAATTCTTTGTTGTTGGGAGCTGTTCTGTGCATTTTAGGATGTTTAGCAGCATCCCTGGCCTGTATCATGTCAGTGGCACCCTGCCCCTCGTTGTGACAATCAAAAATGTCTCCAGACTTACCAAATAACCCATGGTTGAGAGCCACTGGTGTATACCATTTATCTCCTCCTGGGTGTTTGAGAGATAACAAACATTTGCAGCATGAGAATCCCCAAACCACATTGAATGGGGAGATCCTGAAGAGAGAGAGACTGTGTGGCCTAAAGTTCTGAAAAACCTGTTAAAACAGAAAAGAGGACTGAGGGGCGCCTGGGTGGCTCAGTCGTTAAGCGTCTGCCTTCGGCTCAGGTCATGATCCCAGGGTCCTGGGATCAAGCCCCGCATCGGGCTCCCTGCTCCACGGGAAGCCTGCTTCTCCCTTTCTCCTGCTTGTGTTCCCTCTCTCACTGTCTCTCTCTCTGTCAAATAAATAAATAAAATCTTAAAAAAGAAAAATGAAGACTGAGACAAAGCATAGACAAATGAAATGGGAAGAAACAAAGGGAGAAGAGCAGTGATCAAAGTGGAGAGGAGCTCTTAGGAAATCACCCTTAAGTTATTCAGTTTATACTAACAAAGACACAAAAAGTCTTAATGAGGCCACATAGTACCTCTGCTCCCTGTTTGGGAGATGGTATTATGCTTAGCAAATAGTCTTAGCCACTTTTCTGAAAAGACTTCTTTTCCTTTACAGCATGGTCCCAGGTCTGACCTCCCTGAACTGGCTACTTGCAAGAGACTCTTCAGAGATTTCAAGCATCCCCCAAGGTAGTAGTTTGTTTTCCAGGAAAGCCAAGATTCCTTGGGGAGCTGGCAAAAGTCACAAAGCAATGATAGCTAAGCTTTTCCAGGTTTTCCAAGAGACGATCCTACTTAGACTAAGCTAATAAGAGCATCAACACAATCACTTGTATCTTCCTAACCTCTTTCATCTAGGAATCTCTGCAAAATATATAGTCATCTATTAATTTACTTCTCATAACAGTGAGAGAAATCAATGTGATTTTTCTGTTTTTATAGATACAAAAGCCAAGTCATGGAGTCCACAAAAAATAGTAAGAAATCCAGAAATAGAATTGGAATCTTCACTTTGGGCCATTCTTTTTTTTGAAAATTTTATTTATTTGACAGAGCACAAGCAGAGGGAGAGGGAGAAGCAGGCTCCCCACTGAGCAGGGAGCCCGATGTGGGACTCGATCCCAGGACCCTGAGATCACGACCTGAACCGAAGGCAGCCGCTCAACTAACTGAGCCACCCAGGCGTCCCTGGGCCATTCTTGATGCTCAGCACCACTCCAGGTCTCCCACTACTCAATAGTAAGGTAATGATAATCCTTCAAGTGTATACTAAATTTTATGTTTTCATAGGCTTTAAAATAACCCATAGCCTCTTAACTTGACCCATAAAATAGCAGGCCTATTTTAATAGAGGCTATGAATTAAATAAAATAATTAAAATAGAGGCCATGAATTAAATAAAATTAAATAGTGATAGTATTTGAACTGGAACCCAGATCTCATGATTCTTAGTCCAGTACTCTTTCTGCTTGGTAAGCAAGCCCATACATATATGTAGTGATACTTAATTTATGAAGAACAGAAGATACTCTAATCCACATAGAAATCCAAACCTATGCAACCCTTTCATCTATTTGTACCTCATTATGTAGGATCTTTTAAGAGTTAGCTTTGAAGAAAGAGAAAAGTCACTGAGATATTAATGAAGCATCTGGTAACTCTCAAATTAATCTTTGGATTGACATAATAGGCAGAAGGCATAGTGAGGCTCCCCCCAAAGAAGGTTTGAATAGAGCTAGCCTTTAGGAACTAAATTAGTAGGAATGAATTCTTAATTATTTAGCCATATGTAAAAATGACTTATGAGATAATGTGTCACTGAAGAGATCTAGGAATCACCAATTCTAAGCAATTTGACCAGGCTATAGTCTAATGAAAATACTATCTCTACATACTGTCATTATATTAATGATTCCCAAATTCATATTTACAACCCCAACCTCTCTACTGGGTTCCAGCCTCACATATCCAAGTACCTACTTCTCTACATTTCCTTGTCTCATAGAGATCTCAAAGTTACTGTATTTAAAACAGAATTCTGGGTATTTCCTACTGCATGTCTTCCTCATCTCATAAATTAAGGGTACTGCTATCTACCCAGTTGCTTAAGTCAGAAACCTAGGATTCAACTCAATTCCTCCCTTTTTCTCACCTTCTTCATCCAATTCATTATCAAATCTTGTTGATTCTATGTCCAAAATAAATTTCAAATCCAACCACTTCTCTCTATCTCCACTGCCACACTAGTTTGGTCCAGATGACTCTCATGTCTTTCTTGGATGCTACATTTTCCACTTGACCTTTTCCTTCATAACACTTAACACAATTTGTTTTATTTATTGGTCAGTTGTTTACTTGTGATTTTCATAGTCTCACTTCACTTCTAGAATGTATATAAATTCCTTGAGGATAATTTATTGAATTAATGGATAAAAATCTAATAGTGTTAAAATTTTAACATGATTGCTTATAGTGACATAGTTGAAGTTGGAGCCTTTATTTAATCATATATGGTAAAAAAAAATTACTGGAGCTAACATAATGAAAATCAACTATATTACAACTCAAAATGGATGAAAGACCTAAATGTGAGACAGGAATCCATCAAAATCCTAGAGGATAACACAGGCAGCAACTTCTTTGACCTCAGCCACAGCAACTTCTGGCTAGACACATCTCCAAAGGCCAGGGAAACAAAGGCAAAAATGAACTATTGGAACATCATCAAGATAAAAAGCTTTTGCACAAGCAAAGGAAACAGTTGGCAAAACCAAAGGACAGCCTACGGAATGGGAGAAGATATTTGCAAATGTCTTATCAGATAAAGGGCTAGTATCCAAAATCTATAAAGAACTTATCAAACTTGGGATGCCTGGGTGGCTCAGTTGGTTAAGCGGCTGCCTTCGGCTCAGATTGTGATTCCTGCTTCTCCTTCTGCCTGCCACTGCCCTGCTTGTCCTCTCTCTATCTCTCTCTCTGACAAATAAATAAATAAAATCTTAAAAAAAAAAAAACAAACTTATGAAACTCAACACCCAAAGAACAAATAATCCAGTCAAGAAATGGGCAGAAGACATGAACAGACATTTCTCCAAAGAAGACATCTAAATGGCCAGTAGACCATGAAAAAATGCTCAACATAACTTGGCATCAGGGAAATACAAATCAAAACCACAGTGAGATACCACCTCATACCAGTCAGAATGGCTACAATCAACAAGTCAGGAAATAACAGATGTTGGCGAAGATGTGGAGAAAGAGGAGCCCTCCTACACTGTTGGTGGGAATGCAAGCTGGTGCAGCCACTCTGGAAAACTGTATGGAGGTTCTTTAAAAAGTTGAAAATAGAGCTACCCTGGGCACCTGGGTGGCTCAGCCATTAAACGTCTGCCTTTGGCTCAGGTCATGATCCCAGGGTCCTGGGATTGAGCCCCACATTGGGCTCCCTGCTCCGCAGGAAGCCTGCTTCTCCCTTTCCCACTCCTCCTGCTTGTGTTCCCTCTCTCACTGTGTCTCTCTGTCAAATAAATATCTTTAGGGGCGCCTGGGTGGCTCAGTTGGTTAAGCGACTGCCTTCAGCTCAGGTCATGCATGATCTCAGGGTCCTGGGATCGAGCCCTGCATTGGGCTCCCTGCTTGGCGGGAAGCCTGCTTGTCCCTCTCCCACTCCCCCTGCTTGTGTTCCTTCTCTCGCTGTCTCTCTCTCTGTCAAATAAATAAATAAAATCTTAAAAAAAAAAATATATATATATATATATATAATATATCTCTTTAAAAAAAATAGAGCTACCCTACGATCCAGCAATTGCATTACTGGGTATGTACCCCAAAGATACAAATGTGGTGATCCAAAGGGCACCTGCACCCCAGTGTTTATAGCAGCAATGTCCACAATAGCTGAACTATGGAAAGAGCCCAGATGAATGGATAAAGAAGATATGGGGGGTGTGTATACACACACACACACACACACACACACACACACACCTACAGTGGAATATTACTCAGTCATCAAAAACAATCTTGCCATTTGCAATGACGTGGATGAAATGAGAGGGTATTATGCTAAGCAAAATAAGTCAGTCAGAGAGAGACAATTATCGAATGATCTCACTGATATATGGAATTTGAGAAACAAAACAGGATCATAGGGGAAGGGAGGGAAAAATAAAACAAGAGGAAATCAGAGAGGGAGAGAAACCATAAGAGACTCTTAATCATAGGAAACAAACAGGGTAGCTGGAGGGGAGGGGGTTGGGGTAACTGGATGATGGACCATAAGGAGGGCATGTGATGTAATGAGCACTGGGTGTTATATACAACCAATGAATCACTGAACTCTACCTCTGAAACTAATAATACATTGTATGCTAATTAATTGAATTTAAATAAAATAAAAATTTAAAATACCAATCATATTGCTCCCCTGCCTAAAAATCAGTTAATTCTCTGTTACCTTAAGATTAATAGCTATCTGGGGTGCCTGGGTGGCTCAGTCGTTAAGCATCTGCCTTTGGCTCAGGTCATGATCCCGGAGTCCTGGGATCAAGCCCCGCATTGGGCTCCCTGCTCGGCGGGGAGTCTGCTTCTCCCTCTCCCTCTTCCTCTCCCACTCCCCCTGCTTCTTTTTTTTTTTTTAATATTTTATTTATTTATTTGAGAGAGAGAATGAGAGAGAGCACATGAGAGGGGGGAGGGTCAGAGGGAGAAGCAGACTCCCTGCCGAGCAGGGAGCCCGATGCGGGACTCGATCCAGGGATTCCAGGATCATGACCTGAGCCGAAGGCAGTCGCTTAACCAACTGAGCCACCCAGGCGCCCACCCTGCTTCTGTTCCCTCTCTTGCTGTGTCTCTCTCTGTCAAATAAATAAATAAAATCTTCAAAAAAAAAAAAAAGATTAGTAGCTGTCTGCAGTCTACCTCTCCAGCTCTCCTACCACTCTACTCTCTATCTCTACCCTTCTTACTACTCCCTACTCCCTTACTACTCCCTATCTACCCTTCTTATTTCTCTACCCTTCTTACTACTCCCTTACTACTACCCTTCTTACTACTCCCTATCTACCCTTCTTATTTCTCTACCCTTCTTACTACTCCCTTACTACTACCCTTCTTACTACTCCCTATTGTAAGTTCCCAGCCACACTAAATCACTTAATATTTCCTGAACATGCCATTCCTCTGGCGAGAATATCCATTCCTTCTCTTCCCAGGTGAGCTCCTGCCATCCTTTAAGATCCAGCTTATAAGTTACTTTTTAAAAGAAGCTTATGACTTCTCTGGAGGGTGAAAGCGATTTCTTTTTTTCATGTTTGTTTTCTCTCATTACTCTACTACAGCCCTTTCATATTATAGCTGTCTTTGAGATCCTGGAAGGCAGGATCTATGTCTTAGTCATCTTTCCTTGCTTCCCCAATGCCTAGCACATGTTTGTGAATGAAAGGACCCATATGGAGTGTGGAGAAAGGACCCGTAAGTATGAGTGCTGATAACTAACTTGCAACAGCCTTAGCTTCTTAAACATAGTCTCTTTCCCAAGGGAAAATGGGAAACTTCTCAACTGTATCCCATTGGAAACAATTGGATATGGGCATAATCTGGAAAGAAATGTGCTTTACATCCTCTCTCTATGAGTCACCATAAAAAGAGATTATCAGTCTTCTTGACATATCAGCAGTCTCTTAGAAAAGTGATTCAGTGCACCATGTATACACTCAGCTCCTTGGATTGTCACTACTCATTGCATATCTTACTCCCTTGCTCTTGGGAGACTTTGTAAGCCCAACACCTGGGTCAGTTTCTAGCACTTATTGGGAGCACAATAAATGTTTATTGAAAGAATATATGAATTAAATGAAATTTATAAATTAATTTCCTCCTCTCTTGGATAATTTAAACCCTCCCTTTAAAAATGTTTGAGGTGCGTTCGGCTCCATTGGGCTGGTTGGCTCTTACTGTTGCAGTGGTGACGCACTTCATCCTGTCTTTCTCAGACTCTTAACATCTGGAGATCTTTCTACTCTTCTCAGCTCTTCCACCTAGATCCATAAGCCTGGCCCTTTCTTACAATCTCGCTCTTTCTTTTTTTCCATCTACCCTCAACTTACCAACATGAGTGCACATCCAGCTCTGCCCCTATGCCCGCCTGGCCCCGAAGCACCCAGTTCTAGGGACTCTTCTCCAATGCCTGAGATTTACGGGCCTAAAGAAAATTATGCATCCCTGCAAATGTCATCTGCTGAGACACCCCACGCAGAGACCGTCTCTCCTCTTCCTTTGTCCATGGATCTGCTTGTTCAGGACAGCCCCGACTCCCCCACCAGTCCCAGGGTAAAACCACCACCCACTTCTGGAGAGGAGAGAACAGTGAGGAAGGAAGATACGGCCCAGGGCAAGAAACAGAAGATCCGGACCGTGTTCTCTCAGACCCAACTCTATGTCCTCAGTGATCGATTTCAGAGACAGAAATACCTCAGTCTCCAGCAGATGCAAGAACTTTCCAACATTCTGAACCTTAGCTATAAGCAGGTGAAGACCTGGTTCCAGAACCAGAGAATGAAATGTAAGAGGTGGCAGAAAAACCACTGGCCAAAGGAGAGCAAGAGTGTGACTCAGAACAGCACAGCAACCGCAGAATACCCAGGCTTCTATTCCTACCACCAGGGATACCTGAGGAACACTTCTGGAAACCTTCCAATATGGAGCAACCAGACCTGGAATAACCCGAATTGGAGCAACTGGAACAGCCAGTCTTGGAGCAACCACTCCTGGGCCAGTCAGACCTGGTGCCCCCAAGCCTGGAACAATCAGCTCCAGAACTGTGGAGAGGAATCTCTGCAGCCCCAGATCCAGTTCCAGCAAAATTCCATCAGTGATTTGGAGTCCATCTTAGAAACTTCTGGGGAAAGCCATAGTGTAATACAACAATCTGCTAAGTATTTTAGTACGCAGCAAATAATGGATTTGTTCACAAATTACTCTGTGAACATACAGCCTGAAGATGTGTGACGATGAGTATATTATTCGGTCTCAATTTGGGTGGTGGCTGTTATTCTCCTAGGCTTTGTCTTTTAGGTCCTATATATCTCTGCCTCGATATTCTGTTTCCCACTATTCTTACTGTGTCCATTGAGGGGATACAATTGGAGTCAAAGAGGTTTCAGTAGCGTTGGCTCTATGGACAAAATGATAAAAGGTGTTTCTCGCTATAGATAACTAGATACAATACTAATGTGGATATCTTTAGGTTCTAGAATCTAACCTCAAGAATAGGAAGTGAAGATACAAAAACATGTGATGAAGGATAATTTGTATTTTCTGAGATTGTGAGGCTTTTCTTGTTAATAACTTCAATTATTAACGATGAAGGGTTAAGCTATAATGTGCTTCATTGATTTCCTCGGTCCCTTGTGATGTTTTACTAGAACTGTTAATTTGTTCATTATTCTAGCATTTGTAGAAAGATGTTTTGTATTTTAATGTATCATGATAATAGTACCAGTTTGGCTGATTGGTTTATAGGTTTAAGTACAAATAAATAAAATGCCCACTTAAAAAAAAAATGTTTGAGGTGCCACTTGTCTTTAATGCCTTTTCTAATCATCCACTGCTATAATTTTATCCTTCTCTGTCTTCATGTAGCACATATTATTTAAAGATTTTACTTTTATTTTTTAAGCAATCTCTACACCCACTGTGGGGCTCAAACTCACAACCCTGAGATCAAGAGTTGCATGCTCCACTGACTGAGCCAGCCGGGTGCCCCAGTAGCACATATCATTTAGACTATTCTATCTTGCATTTTTATTTATTTTTAAGTGCATATATCCTTTCTTTCCAGCTAGATTATAGAATCCTTGAGAGCAGGGACTATGTGTACTATTGCATCCTATAGTAGTGTCCTTAAATCTAGCAGGATTTTATTGTGTAAATTGTTGGTGATGTTCCCCAGGGTCACATAGTGTCTTGTCCTCTAAGAAGACTGCAAAACCCTGAAGATAACCATAGAATGAGACCACCTCACACCTGTTAGCTAGCTATTAGAATAGCTATTATAAAAACAAAGCAAAATGAAAAACAGAAAAGAACAAGTATTAGCAAGGATGTGGAGAAATTAGAACCTCTGTGCACTATTGGTGGGAATGTAAAATGGTATAGCTGCTATATATAGCTGTTCCTCAAAACAGTATGGTGGTTCCTCAAAAAATTAGAATTACCATATGATCTAACAATTCCGCTTCTGTGTATGTACCCAAAAGAGTTGAAAGGGAAGTCTCAAAGAGATTTTAAACACCCATGTTTACAGCAGCATTATTCACAATAGCCAAGAGTGGAAGCAACCCAAGTGTCTGTTGGTAGATGGAAGGAAAAACAAAATGTGGTATATACATCCAATGGAATATTATTCAGTCTTAAAAAGGAAGGCAATTCTGACACATACTGCAACATGGATGAACTTTGAGGGCATTATGCTAAATGAAATAAACCAGTCACAAAAAGACAAGTACTACATGCTTCCATTTATATGAGGTACCTAGAGTAGTCACTCTCATAGAAACAGAAAGTAGAATGGTGGTTGCCTGGGGCTGGGGGAAGAAGAATGGGGAGTTGTTGTTTAATGGGGGCAGAGTTTCAGTTTTGCAAGATAGAGTTCTGGAGACTGGTTGCACAACAACGTGAATGTACTTAACTGAACTGTACACTTAAAAATGGTTAACACTGTGAATTTTATGTTATTAAAAAAATACAAGCACTGATCAGGGAGTCAAGAGACCAAGATTAATCTTGGTTGTTCCCCAATGACCAGTGAATCACGTGCAAGTCATTTTTTTACTTGTGCCTTGATTTCTTCATCTTTAAACAGTATAATAAAGTCTGCTTGGCTTCTGGGTTTGTGTGAGGACCCAATAGAAACAAAACCAAAAACAAAACAAAACCAACAATTCTTAAGATGATTTTTTCAGTAGTAGTTTTTCCAGTATTCCAGTGTCCCTGATCTCTTTTAATATTCATCACAAGTTTCACGTCCTATTTCATAATAAAATATTCCTAAAGATGCCTCAGCAATAACCTCTTACCACTTAAAAGGATATGTATGCTGAACTCTTACAATTTGGGCTGCTCACCTTATAATTTAGTTCCAGGAACACAGCAAATAAACATCCTTTATGAGGACTATTGAAGACCTAAGATGCTAGTTACTAATGTGGTTTAGCATTAATTGTGGAAATAGAAGCTCAGGATTTTCATGTTAGCATATGAAAGCTGGTCCCAAATTAGGGAGGTATGAGGGTAAATCTGCTGAGTACCTATGAAGCGTCAGGCTCTATAGTAGTTGTGTTACATGCAAGATCTCATTTAATCTTCACAAAAGCCTTATTAGGTTAATAATATTATACTCCTTTTATAAACACGGAAAATGAATCTCAAAGAGGTTAAGTCATTTACCCCAAATCACACAATGAATGACAAAGATGGAATTCAATTCCAGATCTGTATGACTGAAGACCATACTCTTTCTACTCTGTTACACTGCCTCTCAAAATATATTTGATTATGCCTATTAGTGATATAGTTAATAATAAATGATATATGTTCTGTATTTGTAAATTTATGTCAATTTTCTTACTAAGTCATTATAAGATAGGTTGTGTAGGGATAATTGTCACCACTTTACAGATGATGAAGCAGTCAGAAAATTTAACTTACCTAACATAAACCAACCAATAAATGACTATAACAGCACTTTAAAATAGGTACTACAATTCTCAGATGCCTGCTTTTGCACATCAGCCTCATGAGCACAGATTTTATCTCTGATTTTTCTGGTTCTGACATTTTTTATAGAAGCAAAAGAGTGAGCATCTTTTTTTTTTTTTAAGATTTTATTTATTTGCAAGAGAGAATGAGAGACAGAGAGCATGAGAGGGAGGAGGGTCAGAGGGAGAAGCAGACTCCCTGCCGAGCAGGGAGCCCGATGCGGGACTCGATCCCAGGACTCCAGGATCACGACCTGAGCCGAAGGCAGTCGCTTAACCGACTGAGCCACCCAGGCGCCCAAGAGTGAGCATCTTGACATCCTGGCAATATCTTGTTATACATGGACAGATTAAACACATGTGTTCATCCCTCTTCTCTTCCCAAAATCACTAAAATGACAGTGAGTTAATATTTTTTAATCGTTTTTTTTTAAAGATTTTATTTATTTGACAGAGAGAGACGGAACACAGGCAGGGGGAGTGGGAGAGGGAGAAGCAGGCCTCCTGCCGAGCAGGGAGCCCTATGTGGGGCTCGATCCCAGGACCCTGGGATCACGACCTGAGCTGAAGGCAGATGCTTAATGACTGAGCCACCCAGGCGCCCTGTGAGTTAATATTTTAAGTTATCTGCCCACAAGGACAAAGAGAATAAGAAAGACAATAGCAGATGAGGTATATTAACAAATCTTTGGAAGATGGAAAGCTGAGCTAAGAAAACTGGATTTCAAATGCTTGAGAGGCATATACTAATGAAAGGCAAGCAGTCTCATATTGCAGAACACTAGAATTGGAAGGAGCAAATACAACAGCAGCAGACATATCTGAGGGGCTGAAAAGCGGGGGATTGGTTGAAGGTTTATATAGGAAGTTAAATTACCAGGTCCTTTCCTCCTCCTGCTCAGTTAAGCAACCATCCTTCCATTTCTTTGGCAGAGCCCTGGGGTTTATTCTGTCGGGGGGAAAAAATTGAACTAGAAAAGCTCCAGACTGAGATACCAGACACAGCTAAAGATTATAGCTGGGGAGGCTGGAATAAGAGGATACCACACTGAAAATAGATCAGATGAATGTCTACCTGCTGAATGATGAAACTTGCCAAGCCCTCTCTATTGATTTCACTCTGGGAATGCTGACAGCAAGGTTTATATTCTCTAGGCAGGAGAACAGAGATTTAATTTTGGGAGAAACTTAAAATTGAATAATCCCAGAAGGAAGATCTATAGATACTGATACTTGAGTGTCCGCCAACAAAACAAATAGGTCCCCACCTTATCATCCTACAATAAAGCCCACCAACGGAAAAACTCTTCCTGTTAACACAGAGCTGCCAAATACCTTTGTAGTAACTCACTCTTAGATATGAAGGGACAGCAAAGGATCACCAGATAGTTGAGATAAACCTTCACCAAGAAAGACAGCACCAAATAGAAATGGAAGAGAAAAGGAGAAACTCAGAGGATAGCAGAGACAATAGAGAGAGCAGAAGAATATGTTTTAAAAAAAACAATAAGAATCCTGAGAGATAATTGTGTATCCATAAAGCAAAGACAAGAGGCTCCAAAAAAGGAACAATCAGAGGATAATAGCTCTGGGAAATTAAAAATATAATAGCAAAAATAAATAATTCAAAGTAGTATTAATATGTAAAATTGAGGAATCTCCTGGAAAAGAGAACAAAAAGGAATGGAAAATGAGAGAGAAAAGATTATTAAAAGATGAATTCATAAAGTCCAACATGAGGCTAAAAGGAGTTCTAGAAACAGAGAAGAAATGGAGGGAAGGAAATTATCAAAGAAATTACAAGAAAATCTCTAATAACTTCAGGACATGAGTTTCCAGACTGACAGAACCTGCTGAGTGCCCAACATAATGTAGGGAAAAAACCAAAACCAAAGCTACTATGGCACATCATCATGAAATTTCTAAACACAAGAGATAAAAAGATCAAATCTTGGTGATAGGTGAGGAGGGAGCAGGGAAAGGGGAATGGATTACTTACAATAGGTAATAAGAGTCTCATATATTTCAACATTAACACTGGTTGCTAGAAGACAGTGAAACGGTGCTTTCCCAAAATTCTGAGAGAAAATTATTTTCAATCTAGAATTCTATGCTAAATCTTGTGATCAAGTGTGAGAGACTATTAAAGATATTTTCAGGCATGCGAGGATCAAAAATTTACTACCCATCCCCTCCCAGCCTTTCCTGGGACATTACTGGAGGATATACTCTACTGAAATAAGAAAGACAAAGCTAGAAGTTTTAAGAAATGGGATTAACCTAGGCAAGAGGCAAAAGGAAATCCCAAGATGACAGCTATACAGCAGAGGGAGGGAGATACAGCCTGGACTGAAGGAAGGAGTGCTGCAGTGGAGTGTTTCCAGCGAAACTGATAGAGTTATCTGACACGTTTGACTGTGTTGAAAATAGTTTCAGCATTTTTACATTCCTGAAAGAATTAGTGATAATAATACAGAAAATTTGGCAAACAAAAAACTGAGACAATTATTAATTCCGATAAAAACAAAAAGTCGTGTAAGAGAGGCACCTGGGTGGCTCAGTCGGTTGAGTGGTTGAGCCTCCGACTCTTGATTTCGGCTCAGGTCATGATCTCAGGGTCGTGGGATCAAGCTTGCGTGCCTGCAGCAGGCTCCATGCTCAGCGGGGAATCTGTTGGAGATTCTCTCCCTCTCCCTCTGCCTCTTCCCCGCTCAAATAAATAAATCTTTAAAAAAAAGTTGTATAAGAAAGTAAATGTAATCATAATAGAACTAACTGACCCAGAAGTAAAACACACTTATAGAATCATAATGAGTTTAACATGGAACATTGATTTAATTTAAAATATTGAGATATGAGCGCCTGGGTGGCTCAGTTGGTTAAGCGACTGCCTTCGGCTCAGGTCATGATCCTGGAGTCCCTGGATCGAGTCCCTCTTCGGGCTCCCTGCTCGGCAGGGAGTCTGCTTCTCCCTCTGACCCTCCCCCCTCTCATGTGCTCTCTCTCAAATAAATAAATAAAATCTTAAAAAAATATATTGAGATATAACACTACTGGGAGGCTGGAGGGAAGGAAGGTGTTGGATCTTTATTTTTTATAATAGGTACTTTTTAAAATTTACAAATCAAGAAACAGCAGTATAAATATTTTATTTAGGAAAATGTTGGTAAATATGAAAAGAAGCAAGTAAAAGAGTCTGGTAGGGCATCTCAGGCTTTGAGGAAGCTACTGCTTTTTTTTTTTTCTCCAAGACGTGTGTGTGCGTTAAAATACACTCCTGCTTTGTTTTGTTATGAGTCTTGTAGTTGCACATGATTTTTTTTAAACCACATAACTTTTAAAGTATTTACATGTATTACCTTGATAAACATTTAAAATATCAAAAAGAGAGAAAGAGAAAGGAGGGAAGAAAGAAAGAAAAGAAGAAAAGCTTTAGTGTCTATCCAGACCTGTTATATAAAATGACATTATGAATTTTCTTTATAGAGAAGTCCTGGAGGAATACTAGAAAATAACAACCCCTGGTATTTGAGAAGAATAAAACCCTAA